TAAAATGTACCACCAAAGATAGAAGGTAACGCAATAGTTCAATTCCACTCGACTCAAAGTTCGGTTAGCATATCTGATTACTCTATCTTCTCCATATCCTGATACTGCGAGAACGCACCGCCAATTCCAACTTCGCTAGCATCGGTGCAGGGACGTAGCCAGGATTTTGAAAGGGGGGGGGGGGAGAGCCGTTTTGCAAATTACGTAGGACCCCAGCGGGGTCAAGGAGGCGAATCCCCCTGTAAAGTAGCGCACTCTGAACGTTCTTAGGACTGTTTGAGAGGAAAAATTGAAAATTGCAATAGACGCATTATAAATAAGCGCAAAAATAATTATAAAATAAATCAACAGTGGCAGACCCAGGAATTCGAAAGAGAGATGAACCAGGGAGGGACTTTCACAGACCGAGGAACCACCCACCTCAGTCCCACCATGGTTGGGGCTGAGGTAAAAAGAATTATGACTAGGGCATCTCTAGATGGCCGGAAATTACACTCTCGCTCTTCAATTTGAATATATTTTTCTTCTTTTTTTTCCTTAAAAAAATGAAGGGGGGGGGGGGGGGCTTGAATCCAACTCAAACCATTCTTTATGCACTGCCAGAATAGTCATAATCACGAAAAATGGACATGAAAAACCAGATCACATCCCAAAAAATAAACAGCAGTCACTAAGACATACATCAGGAGCCGATTCGATGGAGTTTAATGTCATACCCAGGGAAGGGTACAGACCTGTTTTGAAAGGTGGAGGGGGAGGGCATTTTGTGAGTCGACACCCACCTCAGCCCCACAATGGTTGGAGCTGAGGTGAGAAAATTTGAGCAAATAGTACCTCTAGATGGCCAGAAATGACACTTTTAGTAAAATTCATCATCATCACATCACCATTAGTCAAAATGAAGTGCCAAAAAAAAATAATTCATGATCTTTTATTAGGGATTTTTGACAACCATAGAGATCTTATTAATGTGTGTATACCATAGAAAACAAAGCTTAAAAACATTGTCATTTGAGTATGTACTTTACATAGGCCTACTTCAAAAACGTGATTTCACAACCCACCAAGGCTGGGGCTGAGGTGAGAAAATTTGAGGAAATGGTACCTCTCGAGATGGCCGGAACTGACACTTTTTTATAGTAAAATTCATCATCATCACATTACCATTATAGTCAAAATGAAACGCCAACAAATTTCTCATGATCTTTTATCAGGGATCTACTTAATATCCAGGATAACTTAGGCCTAATTATAGCTTACTAAGCTTTAACTATATATTCTCTAGTATGATCAACAATTCACAACTTTTTTTCGCATTTAGCACAATTTTCTTCACTTTTTATTGCTTTTAATATTATTATCAATTATTACTATCGTCATCATCATCATTGTTATTATTGTCATTATTACTAATAGTAGTAGTATTATTAAACAAACAGTAAAAGAAACTTGCAAAAGGATAAAAACGAAATTGAACCACAGTATCGAATTTCTATCTTAAAAGACATGGCCTGAGATTTATGGATTTAAGAATTTTTTAAATCACGCTTAGGCCTAGTGTTCTATTAGGCCTATGTATAACGTGTATTGATGCATTTATATGTTTGAAAGTATTCATTTTGAGTGATCCCAGGAAAGAATTTGTATTGGCTCAACAATAAGCTTTAACATTTTAACACTGTGTACAAAGGGAGGGGGAGCCGCGGCTCCCACGGCTCCCCACTCCACTGGATACGTCCCTGCGTCGGTGTCTAGTATGAATTGTCCATCTGTGAGAGAGTAGGCTAGAGACCGCATTAATCTGTATTTGAGCTCAACAAAGGCACCTTCACAATCGACTCCCCAGCAAAACGGTCTGGCTTTCTGTACAAGCAATGTACATCTTGTAATTTGTACAAGCGTGCATCAATGGAAGCAAATCCCTTTATAAAACGTCTATAATACGACGCTAAGTCTAAGAAACGTCGAACATCCCTGACTGTATTAAGGGTTGGCCACTCCTTCACGGCTTCTATCTTGGCAGGATCATTGTTACTCCAGCATGTGAGACACGGTGTCCCAAATACAACACCTCCCGTTTAAATAAAGTACATTTCTTCGACTTCAATTTTAAGCCAGCATCTCTTAACCGGGTAAATACTTGTCCCAGACGGTCAATCTTCTCCGTAATGGTTTTTCCCATACACAATGATGTCGTCTAGCTAAACTCCCGTTTAAATAAAGTACATTTCAAAGTACAAAGTACATTTCAAAGTACAAAGTACTTAACCGGGTAAATACTTGTCCCAGACGGTCAATCTTCTCCGTAATGGTTTTTCCCATACACAATGATGTCGTCTAGCTAAACTAAGAGTATCTCCCATTGTATTCATGGTCCGTTGCATAATCCGAAAGGCACCACTTTCCAACAGTAGAGACCTCCCAGCACTACGAATTCTGACGTCTTGGCCTCTTCCTCTAATTCCACTAAATCCAGTGTGGAAAACCATCGAGCTCCAGACAAAGCGTCCAATGAGTCGTTGATACGAAGGATGGGGTATGCGTCCTTTATTGTGACTGAATTTAACCGTCTATAGTTGACGCAAAAGCGTTTGCTCCCGTCTTTCTTTGTGACCAGAACTACTTTAGAAGTCCAGGGGCTGTCCGATATAATATATTAGTCCTTTATCCAGCAGGTCGCGCACATGTCGGTTAATCTCTTCATTAGCTGTTGGTGCTTGTCTCCTAGGCTGCTCTTTGATTGGACGAGCATCGCCAACATCTATGTGATGGTGCACTTTGTCAGTCCTTTTAAAATCGAGATCGCCCTTGGAAAATACATCCTTATATTCCGTCAACAGCATGGCAACTTCTCCATGGTAGATCTAATTGATTGAGGCAATACTGCACTGCCATAAATCCTCTAGCTGTTTGGGTAATGGCCCCTGATCTAGTGGCGGTGGACCGTGGTGTTTTGTCGTCTTAACTTGCTCTTCTTGGACTGAAATAAATTTTCCCACTTTATGGCCTGCTTCTAGAACATGTCGTTTCCCGGGGTTGAAAACACGCAAATGTAACTCTCCGTGTTCCACATTCACTAGAGTTCTTGCCAAAATAAGGCCTGTATTTGCTAATTCCTCTCCTTCATTAGATTCCACCATCTCCAACGCCGGGTAACTTCTCAGTGATCGGTCTACTTCGGTAAGTACGTGTTCATGGCCTGGAAAGATGACTGTATTTTCTCTAACCCTCACATTAAAATTAAATTCTGTTCCCTCTGGTCCGGTTAAAGTTATTACCTCTCCGCCAACCTTTATATCCTACCTCTTTAGACCCAGGATTGCTCTTGTCATTGTAAGAAAATTCATTCCTACTAATCTGGCTATGTTTAAGTCAGCAAAGGTGGCTTTTACAGACCTGAAAGTCTGGCCTATCCGTATTCCTATCCAAGCACATCCAATAGTCTGCAAACGGTTACGGTCTGCAGGCTAATTTTTTCTTCTATCCTTCTCCAGTTTTGAATGGTACCGTGAATACATTTTCTTATTAGGCAGCTCTACTGCACTGTCGAATTCGTATGTCCTCAATATTTAGTTTCTTCCAGCCTTCCCTCGACCCCTGGATTCGGCTGCCCTCAGTTTCCCGAATTTTGTCGTTGGTTCCTTCTTTGACAATATAATGCTATATGATGCCCTTCCTGTTGACAGTTATAACACTTGATTCCAGGCCTCCTCTGCTCCCGGTTGAGTGATGGTTTCTCATTTGGGGCAGCATTTCTTGTCTGATTAGACTTAGACTGAATTATCTCGTAATTTTCTTCTGTAGTTTCAGCACTTTTTAATTGTTTAAACTCTGTGACTCCCCTTGATAGTCTTCCTCTCATCAACTTGTAAAGTAGTACTAGGGGTTGAGGGGCAGACTATCCCATTATGAAACAGGGATGGGGTGGACTATCATTAAATTCGCTACAGTACATGTATATACTCAAACGCCACTGTAAATGTGGAACAACACATATTTACAATCACAATGTATTGGTACGTGATCATAAAAACTGATTTATCCTAATCAAGTTATTAAAATATTAAAATGTAATTCTACTGGAGTAGAACATTAATAGTTTGTGTTGGGAATGATGTTGTTTCCATTAGATTTGTTTACAGGGGGCGGTTTTTCGAGGATAAAATAAAGGCCTCGGGCGTTTTTGAAAGAGGCGTTTATTTCAAATGAAGCTCTAAAAGGTGCGTTTATTCGATGGGGGAGGGGGTGTTATTATTATTATTATTATTATTATTATTATTATTATTATTATTATTATTATTATTATTATTATTACTATTATTATTATTATTATTATTATTATTATTATTATTATTATTATTATTATTATAGTTGGGTGTTTACACACAGGTATAAAAATACGGGTATGTAAATACATTTCCTCCCTGATCATGTTTTTGTATGCTGTAGTAAGACCAGGGAATGTTTCCTGGTAAGATGGTGACGGCAAGATTCGGCCAACTGGGTTTAACTGGGTTGTCATGATTTCGGTGAACTGGATTCGGCAAACCGCGTTTTGGCAAAGTGGAAAATAATTCGTAATCTGGATTTCGGCAAACTGGATTTTGACAAACTGGTCGGATACCTGTAAATTATGCTTATGCCTAACTAGGTTCTTAGTATTATATTATTATGTTAACATTTGCCTGTCAGTGTTATATATTTATGTTAATTACGTTTGCATTCTTTGTGTTATATTTACCAGATATTCAAGATTTCTGCAGCCAGGAATGTGCAGCAATGTGTTAAGCATTTGATCGAGAAAGTACCAGTATTATTTAGTGACCCAAGAGGAAATATCCGAGTGTCAAATAGTTTAACACAATTCTACTTAAGTACATATTAATTTACTGAAAGTGTTAGTGTTGGTGATAAGCCAATAAGAGGATATCCCTTGGTAAACAGCACTACAGATGCAAGGTCTGATGAATACAATAAGAACAGTGCATGGAAATAAACCCATGGATGTAGTAATAGCTGAAGATGATTGTCTTTTAGTTTCTCTATTCAGCAATGAAATTCACAAGTATAGGATATCAGGAGAATATGTCAATAAGATAATACTTTTACCATATAATGTAAAAGTTAGATCAATGTACAAATTAAAAAAAAAAAATTTGATAGCATATTCTGATGGTGAAAATAAATGCATATCATTATGTAATTCAGATGGTCATGTGGACAAATCAATTGGTAAAGGAGAATTGAAGGATCCCTATGGTTTTGATGTAGATGAGGAAAAAAATATAGTGTATGTTGCTGACTGGCAGGAAGACTGTGTGTTCATGTTTGACATGGATAGTGACCAGATGATCAAAAGGATTGGGTCAAGAGGTCCAAGTAATGGTCAATTTCGTTCACCACGGGATGTTACTGTTACTAATAAAGGAGATCTCATTGTAGTAGACTTGGGTAATCACAGATTACAATTATTTAACAATCAAGGAAGGTTCATAAATGTTCTTGTAGGTAAAGGCGATGAGGATGGTAAGGTGAATTGTCCATATTCAGTTAAAACAGATGATGATAACAACATGCTTGTGACAAGCTTTCACAAACTACAGTTATTCAACAGTGATGGACATTTCATTAAAAGAATTGATCAAACAAGGGATGAATTAAAATTTCCTTATGGATTTTCAATAGATAATAATATACGAAGAGTTGCTGTAGCAAATAATAGTGGGGGAAATATTAAAGTTTTCAATTACTAACATCATATTATGTTAAAGACAAGCCAAACCAGTCACTCGTCGCAAATCGTGTTTCAGAGAAAATGGCCAAAACATGCTAAAGTGTCAAATTTTAAAAAATCTATTTTATTGCACTAAACTAACCTTTATATATCTACACACCATCCTATGCTGTTATTTGTCCCATTTGAATGTTAAAACAACACTTTTTAAGGATTTAAAGATAGTTTCTACATGAGAAATGTCTGAAATCATAAATTTTGAAGGCTGATTTATCATATCACAGCTGTGTTGTTAAACGCTTGTAACTTCATAAGGAAATGTCCGATTTGAATGATTTGTTTACCATTTTATAGCTATTATTTTATTCTCTAACAATGTATTGATAACTCAAAATTGATTTTTGCAACGACTGACTGGTTTGGCTTGTCTTTTCCACAATTATATAACATAAATTTACTCATCAAACTATTCAATTTTTGCTGTGTATGATGATTATAGTAAGAGTAAATCAATTTGAACCTCTTTCTCTCATGGAGAATGCAATACGTGTCTCTTAATGGATTTGACTTTAGCAAGGCGCATGTCCCATGTTGAGTTCCACAGGGGTCAATCTTGGGACCGCTTCTCTTTATTGTCTGTATTAACGATCTTGTTCCAATGTCTTTTCTTTTACTATTTTTGCTTAAGATTATAACATTATTTTTGTTTCTGATGTACACAATGTACACAATTTGATTGCCGCTGCAAACAGTGAACTTGTAAAAATTATGGAATGGACCCATGCCAATCGCCTGTCATTGAACACGAGCAAATTATATTTTATGTTTTTCAGCAATAATATCAATGACTTCCCTGCCCTGATTTTGCTAGATGGGAATGAAATTTCTAGGGTTCCAACTACCACATTCTTATAAATTTATATAGATGGGCGATTGTGGGACGTACATATCCGGAACCTATGTAAGACGATAGCCCGCAACGTTGGTGCTATGCACAAACTTAAAAAATATTTTTGCATGTGGGAAAGCCAGTGTCGTTCATATTAACAGAGTCCACGTGATACAAAAGAGAGCGCTTAGATGCACTTGCAACGCAAAATGGTTGGCTCACCCCACCAATTTTCCTATCACAAAGCATCCTGCAGATTATGGATATGTTTGATTTAAATGTTGGTATTTTTATATTTAATCTACATTTCTAGTATATTACGTATGTTTATTATTATATTACATACGTTTATGATATTATTTACATTTAGTATTATATTCTGTACTTTATTATTTATATCAATTACGTTTATTATTACATTGTATACGTCTGTTCCTATCGTTTAATATTATATTTACATTTCTTATTATATTAATGTACGATTATTATTATAATATTATTAATATATATATATATATATATAGATATAGATATATATATATATATACATATCTTTTGTTACTGTATATTATTTACGTCTATTAGTACCGTATATTACGTACGTTTATTATTATATTATATATGTTTATTATTATATTATAGACGTGTATTATTATATTATGTACGGTTAGTATTATATTATGTACGTTCATTATTATATTATATATGTTTATTATTATACTATAGACTTTATTATATTAACGTTAATGTATAATTACATTTACCGTTAAAAATAAATTTCTGTAAAAATACAGTAAATTACTGTCAATCTTAATGCCGGTAGTCAACCGTAATGTAAAATCACATTTACCGTAAATAATACATTCCTGTAAAAATACCGTAAATGCTGTTCATGGAAATATCGGTTGTCAAACGTAATGTAGAATCGCAGGTACCGTTATTAATTTATTCCTGTAACAATACCATCAAAATACTTGGAATCAGGACGCCAGTCGTCAACCGGAATGTAGAATCACATTTACCGTTAATAATTAATTCCTGTAAAATACGGTAAATTACTTTCAATCTCAATGCCGTTTGTCAACCGTTATGTAGAATCACAGATACCGTTAACAAAATTCCTTTAAAAATACGATAAATTACTGTAAATCTGAATGCCGTTCGTCAACCGTAATGTAGAATCACAGGTATCGTAAATTAGTAATTCCTGAAAAAAAAAATTGTAAATTACTGTCAATATGTAACGGTCGTCAACCGTAACGTAGAATCACAGGTGACGTTAATAATAAGTTCCTGTAAAATTAACGTTTAATTATCGTCCATCTGAATAATAATTTCTGTCAAAATACAATAAAATACTGTCGACGATTGTCGTTTTTTACAAAATTCTTGGTGGCTAACAAAAGTTTAAAAAAGGAAAATTGTTCATAAAGTCTATAATTTAAGAAAGAGTTTAAAGAATGTTCATTAGACCGTTTTGTGAATTATATTTGTAACTATTTTTACAGACGTCTGATGATCTTTTTTATATTTACTTCATGAACTACCATGAAAACTGCAGAACAAAATGAAGTGAAATTTTGGTAAACATAATAATAAATAAAATACATACAAGAGTATTTTATAATAGTATGTCTCAACATTCTAATGTTATATTTCTTACAGTAATAATGTCATGAATAATCAATTTAACACAACTTAGCTTGCTTGCTGTTACTGAGTCAAGATAAATAGCACATATTATTTCTAAATTACCACATTAGTGTAATTATAATGCATAAAGTAAAGCTGAATCTTTAAACATAAATCAACATTAGAGCAAGGGGAAGCTGTCCTATATTTGCCAAAACTCTGACGCAAAAGAGCGAGGGGACCCTGTCCGATATTTGCCCAAGCTCTCACGCAAAAGAGCGATGGGACCCTGTCCGAGTAATTGCCCAAGTTCTCGCGTAAAATTACGAGTGGGATCCTGAATGATAGGAAGAAAGAGACCCAACCAAATCCGCACCCACCCTTTCGTTGCCCAGTCGAGACGGGCCAAGGAGATTGATCTACAGCGAAATACTTGCCGTAAGCTTTCTTTGACAAAAAATACTTGCTGTCAGCTTTCCTTGACACTGGGGGAGCGGAAAGGAAAAGACCCCGCCAGGAAACCGTCCGAGACCCACCCGACCCTGTGCCCAAGCTCTCATGCAAAGGAGCGAGGGAACCCTGTCCGATATTTGCCCAAGCTTTTACGCAATAGAGCGAGGGGTATCCTGAATGATAGGACGAAAGAGACCCAACCGAATCTGCACCCACCCTTTCGTTGCCTAGTCGAGATGGGCCAAGATTTCGTCTCTGCAGGAGAGGTTAATTTGCTTGTTGCGCATTCTCGCCGGAGCGCCGGGCGGGGGACCACTGTCTGTGCAAAACTCTAACGGCCGGTAAGGTCTACTCGTAGCTGAGGTTGACCATTGCAGGATTAACGTATTGAAGTACAGTTGAATTTTGAATATAAGTTGCGAAATATTAATTTCGTCACTGAAGAACGTGGCCCCCGCACCCGACTCCCCAACGTGTCCACTGGCCTTCACGCCGATACGTCTGGACGAATAGGCGCGATTTTTTTTGGGAAGGGAGAATAGCTTCCTCCATCACTTACGACCTAGGCCGCATTCTGTTACAAGTGCCGAAGTAGGTTTCCTACGTTACGCAGGAGAAGCGGGTGAAGGACCCGCGGATTCCAAATCTGGACTTTCCCTCGTGATGTTACCCCCGATCCCGCGCTAGAGATCGAGGGGACCCTGTCCGATGCACAAGAAGTGTGCGCCTTGCTTGTACCTGCGAAGAAAAAGAAAAAAAAATAAACCCAATGAACGTTAAGGACGACTCCCGAAGAGAGAGCCGGAGGAGACCTCCCCAAAAAACCCATATTTGGACAACCCGCCCCAGCGCCAACCCGTAAGCCGGCAAGCACCCCTGGAAACAAGCCTCGATGACCCAATAGCAAGGGGGGGGGAAGCCACGAGGGGTTTTAGTTCGCCGTTTTTCCGTTTGCCGTGAGAGCCGGAATGACCCACCAAAAAATTTCCCCTTACCCGCGAAGAAAAAAATAAAATAAAATAAACCCAATGGACGTTAAGGACGAATCCCGAAGAGAGAGCCGGAGGAGACCTCCCAAAAAACCTATATTTGGATAACCCGCCCTAGCGCCAACCCGTAAACCGGCAAGCACCCCTGGAAAAAAGCCTCGATGACCCACTAGCAACGGGGGGAATCCACGAAGGGTTTTAGTTCGCCGTTTTTCCGTTTGCCGTGAGAGCCGGAATGACCCACCAAAAAATTTCCCCTTACCCGCGAAGAAAAAAACAAAATAAAATAAACCAAATGGACGTTAAAGACGACTCCCGGAGAGAGAGCCGGAGGAGACCTCCAAAAAACCCATATTTGGACAACCCGCTTCAGCGCCAACCCGTAAGCCGGCAGCGAATTTTTTTTCGTGAAGAGCCAAGCATAGGGAGACATATAAAGCGCTCTGATTGGCTAATGATAAGATGACATAATCGCACTTTTGTTTGACAGTCGCAAGGTATCTCGCACACTCGTCAGAGCAATGCGGCTGCGATACACGCCAACAAAACAATCCATGCACATACAACGCGCCGAGTAAACCTGGTTTTTATACGTGTAACAGATTACAGTATTGGGAACAACATTAGGCTATGGCTACCATAGTCACCGCTGATCATACAACTCTAATACCCACTGCTACCAATAGGCCTAGAAAAAAGTGTAGTAGGGCCTACTATGAGTACAAACGAGGTCGTTTGCATAGAGGGCCTAATAGTAGGCCTAGAGTTAGTAGGCCCTAGGATCACAGACTTTTAGGCAAGATATGTTATACTCTACCTTGTTTAAATAGCGATTTCAAATAGTTAACGCACTTTTATATTTTAGAAAAACATAAAATGTTACATATTTTTATAATGGCTTTTACTCCCCTGAAATATCCACAAATTAGATAAATTTAAAGCATTTATCAATCTCATTATAACACTTGTTTCAAATCATATCATTGAACATTTTATTTCCATTTTGTCCTTCACTTTGCTTTTGGCAAAATCATTTTGCTAAATAATTCTTCCCTCCCTCTGACGGCTTCTACAAAAATAAGTTCACTAAACAAGGCACAGTATTATTATTTGAAAAGTCTTTCCTTTACTTACCTCTCTATGTGTCTGTTAAATGGTAGTCAATGAAAATACAAATAGTGTATAGTGATAAAGCTGTTAAAATTTAGTATTCACGACAGCAACAATAATATATAATAATAATTATTTTAAAAAGTTAGTGTATTGCACCACTCCGATTTATCTTTTCTTCCTCTGAATCTATGCAGTATGAATATTTTTATTGGTGGTGTCTATTTTATTAAACATATAACATATATTGTTGGTATTTGTTTCTGTATTTTAAATGTATAAATCTAAGCTGGAAAGTCAACTTTCTTCACTACTGTACAATATACATATTGCTCTCTCCTTGTGCAAATACACTCGCACAAAAAAATGAAGCAAGTAAATTATAAAATAGTCAATAATATTAAATCTGTTAAGTTATTTTTCTTCTCTTTTTTTTCTCGAATTATAAATAATAAACCAGCTTATAAATAATATAAAAAAATGTGAATTAACAGAGATAATTCACAGCTAATAAATTAATTTGGCTGTGTTGAAGGTAGTGATGAGATGGTTCTATGCATTCTGCTATTAGCAATGTCTATCAGTCAGCGTTCCATCCAGAAACATCCCAAAAGGCCAAATTCCCACTCTGTGGTATCATTTCATGGACCTAAAAAAACCCCACCAGATTCAAGTATTTAATTGTGCTGTACTGTGCATCCATTTATTATGTCATGACATAACAACATCAGCAGTTTGAGGAATTTTTTTTTTTTTAAACCTGGGTTGCTACTTATTTGTAGGTTGGTTGATATTTAAAATTATTACCTTATTTATTTAAACATCATATCACAAACAATAATATAAGGTGGCCAAAGACCAAATTGCATGTTACTTGTGTTACATAATATTTATTAAAAAGGATATATAGGGGCCTATAATAAAAGAATAGACAGTTAAAAAATTGTAACATCATATAAAAGTACAAAATAGAAAAATCAAAATGGTAAAAAAAAAAATTACAACGAAAAATTTAAGCAACTGAATAATAAAGAAAGGAGGCATCTCACATTGCCAAGTTTGCTGTTAGTCAAGTATAACATTGTAATTTTAAAATTATAATTATAATATAAAGTATTGGAGAGCTGTGGACAATAGGCAAGGGTCTAATACCGTATTCAGACTAGACTAGCATTGCGATCGGTTGCGATGTAATCGGGAGTAATCGGGGGTAATCCAAATTCAATTACTCCCGTTCGCAACGAATCGCAACTGTTGGACGCATTTTTTATTTTCTTCTCTCAATTGATTCTTGAGCTTGACCTCAAGTAAAACTTGAGGTCGATGCTAGAGGGTGTCCGATTTCGTGTACATTTTTTTTGCTCGAAACTTGTTGTAGTTGTACTGCAGGCGGTGTTTTTCGTAGAGTAGGCCTACAGTTGAAAATGTCGAAAACTAAAAAAAATTAGTCGGACAGCGAAACTCTCAAGCTCCTACACCACCTCTCAAATGAAAATGTGCAGGATGCACTTGAGGGTTTAGGGAGGAACTCCCATGTATGGGAACAAATAGCAAAAATCCTCGACATTGGACGTACAGAAGAACAATGTCGAGATAAATGAAACTATTTAAAGCGTAAATTCCGCGAAATTGTCAAATGGAACAATACTAGTGGCAATTCCCGTAAAGACTTCGATTTCTTCGACGAAATTGACAGGATGATTGGTAAGTAGCATGAGGAGTAGGCCTAGGCTTAATTTTGACACAATCTCCACGCAATCGGCCCTACTTTTTCCGGAACGGTCGGATCATATAATAATATAGCAAAGGGCCTCCTCCAAGCTTGGCCTTTGTTTTTTGCGCGGATGATATCTACCATGCCCTCCCCATGTGCATGCCTAATTTTTACAGTGACCAGGGTTTAGGCCTGAGCCATATATGTATTAGGCCCTAGGCCTATTTTTTTGGTTATTTATGCTTGGTCTAATTCAGTATTCAGCAGCGCAGATAGGCCGATGATGGGGTGGTGTGGTCCCCGCCCCCAACGAAGAATGTAAGCGTGTTGAGTGGTAATAAATGAGTGGTAAATGCTGAGTTATAAAATATCCTGATGGCACAAACTTCTTTTTTAGTATTTACAATTTCCTCACCCTCTCCCCAGACCCAAACCACATGCTCGCATGCTGTAGTGTTAATTTGCTTTTAGGAAAGAGGCCAATGAATCGGCTAAATACAAGCCACCATATGGACAGGGACACGCTGGTTGAAGAAGAAAGTACTGATAGCATGGTCTTCAATACCGAAGAGGTCGTCATGTCAGATGTGTCAGAGCTAACACCTGGTAACATAACCCTACTTTATAGTTGTATGTAACTCATGCAATGGTTACATATTTGTAATCAAACATAAAATAAACATAAACATTTCTATAGGCCTACTAGTTGTCTTATGAAGCAGTTCAACTGCAAAGATTTTTTTTATAATTGTTTTTATAAACCTATCATATTTATTGGATTATTTTTTTTAAATGTTATGTCATCATAATACATCAATATTATGATTATTTACATACACATTGATATTTTACAGTGTAATCTTTGTTTTGTAGTAGAGAAAACAATTATTTAATTACTTCATTTAAATTCATTTTTTATTTCAGAAGACATGGTGTCTCTTGTTAATGATGAATTTGATGAGTCTAGTCCGGGTAGATCATCTGTAGAAAATGCCTCAGTTTCCAGTGAAAATAAGAATTAAACGAAAATAAAACATGTTTCACCTACAGCTGGAAATAGTAAGTAAATTTTCAATGGAATGCAGTCACAGTATCAATGTACAACATGTAATAATCTCACAACAATGATTTATTATCATATTTGTCAATCTGTGAAAGGTGTATCACAATTAATAGATTTTGTTCAAATAATAGTCTGTTGTCAGACTGTTTACTATAACTAAAAACAAATCACTTGGCTGTAAATACTAAAATACTATGTATACCAGACACTTTTGTAACTACAGTGTATTGTATACTTTTGAATTTCATTACTTAACAGAGAAGAAAAGGAAGGCAGCAGTGGCGTTGGAGAAGCTAGATGAATCATCCAACATCCTTAAAGTGATGGTAAAGCAGAATCAAGAGTCCGATGAAAAAGACAAATCATGGCAACAAGAACTGAAGAAGATGAAAATGGATCACAAAAAGTTTAGGATGGAATGGCAGATCCAGATGGAAGAGCGAGGAATGGAACGAGAAGAAAAGGCGAGGGAGAGAGATGAACAGCAGCGAGTAGAAGAGAGAGATCGAGTGGAGAGGCAAAGAAGGGAAGATAGAGAGAGGGATGAGCGAAGAAGACAAGAGGATAGGGAGCGTGAAGATCGACAAAGGGCTGAGAAGATGCAGTTGCTTCTGACACTTATGACACAATTAAATAAAAAATAGTAGTAATTATAGAACAGGACACGATATAGTCAGTTTCATAAAACCAATTTAGTGGTAGTAATTTTTTTTTTTTTTGGTATACAAGGGAGGTGTGGTGTCAGTTAGTTCTTTTTACTAATATCCAACCTTCACGTAATGTTAATATCGTTCTTGAAATATATACTTAAAGGCTTTGCAGTCATTCATAGGTGCTACTATATTTTGGCATTTGTAATGTTTTTATAATATTTAGACAATAGTGTTACATTAGCTTTTTATATAGATCTCATTAATGACGTTTTACACTGAGCCATATACAAATTAAGTGTGAATTTCTATAGTACAAATATATTAAAGATTTAAATAAAGGTCTTTGAAGTTAACTGTTACTTGATCCAAACTATATGTAAATTTTAAACTGCTACACCAGATCTTCAACAGATCAGAACAGAATAGTGTTTATTCAGTAGTGTGAATGCTCAAAAACCCATGCATCGTGGCATTTCCCCGGCCAACCAACATCAAAATCGATGAAGCGATATCTGTATTCAACTACTGCTTGTAGTAAAACACTGTGTCACTGCTTCCGGTTATAGAAATCCGTGTGATATTCTGTTGGTGGTAAAATGGGAAAATGACATCCATCAATGCTACTGCCACATTGCGGAAATCCCCAGGTTGTTTAAAAGCCATTAATAATGTCTTTCATTTCATTTGTGCTTGGTTTAGGTGCATAATATATAGGCGTCAGCACCTTACAAATACATTTACAAACCTATAAGATACAATTGGGAATTATCATAATACTAGAAGCATACATAAAATAATCGTAATAAAATAAATATATAAATTTATATTTTCTGCATACCCAGCGAATATAAAATGAGAAAATAAAATAAATTTTAAGCCATTATTTAATAAAAAAAAATATGTTTATAAACATTTTAACTTTCAGAGAATTTTTTACATTACAAATCAATAGTTTATAATATCTTGTACAGTGCTGTATTATGAACATGCAATAACCATTCATCCACAAAAGAAGACAAATATTATTTAGTAATAATATAACAAACCTCCAAGTGAATTGTACATACTGTTGACACACCCACTCCATACATTTCCGACAACGTTCCAAGATCTGTGTGTTTGGCTAATTTGTGAAGGGTGATGGCGATCCTTTTTTCGGGGCTAATGGGCTTACGCATTCGTGTCTCATCCTTTAGTAGGTGGGGCCTCAGTAATTCCCACAAATGGTCGAATGGTGCTCTGTTCATCCTAAAATGGTGGTAGAAGCGGTCATCATTCATCCAGTTTGACGAGTCATTGGCCCACCAATCAGTGTTCCTTGGAAGGGCCCAAACACGATCTCCACCAAGCATTGCTAAATTAAAAAAAAACAAAAAAAAAACAAAAAAAAACAAAACAATAATTTACACAATTGAATCAGTTACTAGGTTTCGCTATAAAAATGTGTAAACATTATGTGATATAATAATAATATAATAATATATAATAATAAGAATAATAATAATAATAATAATAATAATAATAATAATAATAATAATAATAATAATAATAATAATAAAAATTAATAATAATGGTATAAAATCTACCTATATAGAGGCGCATGACTACTAGTATACTAGGTCCAGGCTATCTATGAATAGTGAGGCCTAGTAGTAGTGTAGGCCTACAGTAGACAGCAAATTGCCACTTACCTATATTGGCTAGACTTGAAGTAAACACAAGTACAGCGATTTTCTGTAACATCTCACGTTTACGCCGGCGCTTGATAATAGCCCGTTCACGTATAAAATTAAAAGTTGAAATAACTATGTTTTGATTAGTTAATCGTCGTATATATAATTAGTACTATCACTGGTAGGTAGGCCTTTAAAACTTTTCGAGTGTTCGCGCGGATTTATTGGCAAAATGACGACATTGTAAACAACATTACTGATTGGCTCATGTCGATTGACCTCAGCCAATCAGTGTCCGTGGAATCCGTTGTAATTTGTTGCGATCGGATTCTGTGGTAATCGGGAGTAATAAAGATTTTAGCACCCAATCGCGACGGGTAACAATTACGAAATCGATTACTTATCGACTACTATTGGTGAGCTATCAGACACGATTTTACTTTGCGATTGGGTGCAATTGGGTGTCGCAATTGCTACAACCGATCGCAATGCGAAGCTAGACTGAATGGGGTATAAGCCCTAGTAGTAGTAAAGTTTGGCAGTAGGGTATTTATTTATTAATAATTATTATATTACAGTATTGAGGTGTAGAAATAAAGGAAAAACATAGACTATTTGGGCCTTAAACAGGTTGCTCTGCTAGGTACTTCTTCTTCAGAAAAAATAAGGCGAACTTGTCATGCAAACTAGGCCTAGTGTCTAAGTGTTGCATTGATCTTTCTTGCATCATGATTGATGATATGGGATAGGATTGTAGGTCCATCTTCCAACTACGCCAAGAGTAGGCCTTGCCTAGACTGGGCGCGCAGACTGGGCCTAGATAGAGTCATGAGATGCATCCCTCCTTACAATTTTACCTTGATCGTTGTGGGTTACGTATGCAGTAATAATAGTGAAAACTTACTCTGAGAAAACCATAGTCTGCAATCGGTGAATCAAACCTATACTAGTAGAGTCATTTTCATGAGATCCGTGACTAATTTTAGGATACCTTTTTTTCTCGATGGATTTGGCTAGATGGACCAATTTAGATAAAATATAGCTCCTACATACCTCCCAGATATGGGGGTGGGGGAGGAAATTCCCGTTTGGGGGCGTTTTTCAAAATGGCTGTCTGTTGATTTGGACGCTTGTTTTTTGGTCTCAAATTGTTCACAATATGCATGTTCCTATTTGTTGTAATACCACTTTTTATCAAAAAACGGTGGGAAATGCGATTTTTTAAAGTTTGACCATTGATCTTGTATTGTCATATCTCGGTAACTACTGGTCACAGACACTCACAATTGATTGCAAAGTGTTCAGGAGATTCATGTTTATATTCGTCTTAATGAAAAAATATTCAAATAGTGACCGAAAATGGTACATTCTGACCTTTAACCTATTGTAGGGTCATATATTCCATGTCAAATCAACCAGATTAAAAAGAAATTACTGTATGATTGTCTCAGATTTTCATGAAACTCAATAAATTCAATCCACTATATGCTGAACTAACAAACAAAAATTAGCCTTATAGGATATATAGTTTCCAAGATATCGACTCCTCAAAAAAGGGGCGTGGTTCTTCAAGATGAGCAAACGCAATTTACTTCAACTTTGGAAGCTTAGAACTCGAGATTGGTAATAGCTTTCAGGGTCAAACTTGGTATTCTAACTTACTTTTGCCATATTTCACAAATATGGCCTTAGATTAACAGTTATCACTTCCCTTTTGAAGTTATCTGCACTCAAAGTAGCCGCTTTGTTTAACGATGCATTTTTTTGTGATTTTCGAGGTCACCCTGCGTCCATTTGAGTGGGTATATACCCCTCATATTACTGATATATTATCTGAGTGTAGTTGTCTCTAACCACATGCAAGCACAGGCTGATCAAATCAATTAAAATTGAATAGCATATACTCAAAGTTGGGACCAGATTTGTAAAAGTGAAAAACGCCTATGTTTCTCAACAACGGATCGTCATGTGGACATTTAAAATCTTTTCTTAAATTTACCCCAGTTAAACCAAATTTCAGCTTTGGTACACAGCTCCTTCATGGTTAGATACTATGTTGAAAACTACACAATAACATAATCGGAAATCACGAAAGTTTTTAAGAGTTGAGTCATTCTATGCCAACAAATGCATTACACGAGGGTCATAGATTTCAATTTTTTTTTGGACACTGTCTCAGTGATATAGATATCTATGTCAACTGAAAAACCTGAAATTTTTTAGACTCGCCAATTCATTCGTTTTCCTGTAGCTGCAGTTTGAGGTTAAGGGGGCGTGGCCTCTCAACAAATGCATTACAACATTACAGGTCATAGATTGTTTTATTTTTTGCACCCTCCGGCCTTGTGAATAGAAAAACCTGAAGTTTTGAGACTCAAATTCCCCTTTCTTTTTCCCGTAGCTGCAATTCGACGTAAAGGGTGTGTGCCTCAAATTAACTTTGATTTTCGTATGCTATCATCATACAACCCCTTTAACCTTTTGTGGTGTAGGACACCTTTTACTGCTAAATCCAAATCCTTAAAAACATGTTTTTAACACATCATCAACAATAATACCCTTCTTTTATATAAATATTTTGCTTTAATTTTCTAAATCTATGTCATAGACCCATTAAATTTTCTATGAATTGCAAATTTATTTATCTAAAGTTATTTCTGGTTTAATTCTTAATGTGCAACTTCAACCTGGGTAATAATAACCTCATCAAATTTGTATTGTGGGTGACGGCCCGTATTATTATTAGTAAGTCACATCACATGGCAATTGGGACATCACATACATCATTTTTTGTGGCCAATATATGGTAAATTATTTTCTTAAAACTTTCTATACTGTTTCATGAATATATTCATGTTCAATTCATGAATAGAAACTTCCTAGAATTCGCATTATATTCATATTTATTTTGGGCCACACCCCCTTAACTTCAAACCGCCGCTACAGAAAAATGAACTAATTGGCGAGTCTCAAAATTTCAGGTTTTCAGTTCACATAGATATCTATAATCACTGAGTCAGTGTGGCAAAAAAATCAAAAAAAAAAATCTATGACCCATGGTGTAATGCATTTGTTTGTTTGGCATGGAATGACCAAACTCTTAAAAATGTTTGCGATTTCCTATCACGCTGAAATATGTGTAGTTTTCAACATAGTATCTAGCCATGAGCTAAGTACCAAAGCTAAAATTTGGTTTATAGGTAGATCCAATGTATCTAATAGGGTAAATTTAAGGAAATATTCTAACTTTCCACAAGATAATCCGTTGTTGAGAAACATTGGCGTTTTTCACTTTTATAGATCTAGTTGTACGACACACAGTGGGCCAGGGCGAAATCAAAGTGTGCCAAAAGTCCATTTTGGTGACTATGGCTTTTACACATTTTTCACATGATTGAAGAAGGGTATACCCAGGTGAATCTATCCTGAAAATATTTTACATTTAAAACGAATTTTAAGGGTGGTATTTTTTAACAAATGTCGGAAATTTCTCTCTAAATATTTCAAATGCTATAAATGACTATATTATATACAAATACGTTTTTTTTTTCTTACAGAAATTCGGAATTACTTTAAAATGTACACGCTTCTTGTATATAAATTGGGGAACACAAATGTATGTTTTGGTTTAAATTTGAAGTTTGCATCAATAATAAATCGTTTTTTAAACGGCAGAAAAAATATTTAAAAAACTATTTTTAGAAAAATAGGAGAGAAAGTTTAGATTCATGTGGATTCATGCTTTAATTTTTACATCACCATCTTCAGTATAGCCTTCGCTTTATGATGGTACAAAATTTAGCTGCTACTTTTTGCAACTTTGCGAGCTAGAGCTTTATTGTCAGTTTGCGAGCTTTTATCAGTCTTGTTTTCGCACATTTGAGACACAGTTTAATTAGAGTAAACCGCAATCAGTAGGGATGTACGCTCGTCTACTCAACCAGTTCATGCAAAGCGTGGGAAAAACACTCCAAAAATTGACAAACTGCTCATGATTTAACAGTAGCAAATCTTGTAATATTTTGTTGCTGTTTAAATTACTTTATTAAATTTTGAGCAGCCTAATAATCCAAATATGTATCATAATGAAGATGATATGCAGGCCTATATCTAGGCGTCAATTGTTTTTAACTTTATTCAAAGACACCCAAGACTTTGAAAAGCTTCCTGTTTCAACATAAGAAGAGGTGAGCTACTACGCGAGTAGTAACGACCTTCCCAACAAACAATACTATGTTATGATAACGTGACAATAACGTTACAGTTTTGTGTTGAAAACTTGATTTTGTAGAACAATAAATACGTACTGAACATAATTTCACAACGTTTGCACGTTCCTACAACGTTGTGTAAACGTTATTTTGTGACATACCTAACCACAATGTTTGCCACGAACGTTATAAGAACGTAAACACGTGTTTGCTGGGTTTCTAAAAAAATAACTCGTGGCTTGACAAAAGGATTCCATTTTCGAATGAAGTTATTATGTTTTGACACAGAACTGAAACATTCTTTCAACACCTAGAGAAAACCCACAAGAGACAGCCCAAACCGGGACGTCCTATCGAAGTATGGGAGGATCTTTTACATTTTAAAAATGTAAAATTAGGTTGTCTGGTATATTATGAATTTTAATTTCGATTTCGATTTTGATTTATTAAAAAAAAACACACATTTATATTTACTGTAAGATTAACAATAGAAATGCTAATGTTGGCCTATGCCTAAAACACTTTTGGCCCGGTCCAATCAGAAAAATGTATTTTGATGACGTCATGGAAAATACAAAAAGGTTCTCACAGAAGTTCCTTTGTCCCAAACCTCCCTAAACATTTCAAAAATCATTGCAATATGAACTTGTTTTGGTATTACAATGAAAACTGACATCGTCCAATCAGAAAACAGCACAAAAATGACGTCATATAGATTTGAACATGCTTTTATTGAATTCTACGGGTATGCAAACCTCCAGATAAGTCTTATATTCGTTTAGATTAGCTTCTGTAATGAGTAATTAATTTTGGCACACTTTGACTTCATTCTGGCTCACTGTGCGACGACGCGACATGGCTAGCTGGATGTGATGGTTGAGTGAGGCCTAACTGCACTCGTTTATACCAAAAATAGTACGATTTTAACTCGTTATATTTCACATTTGACGTTACATTTACAAACATCTAACAGTGATTTCTGTTAACTTAAATCACGCTCAACTTTACACACAACGCGTCGTCGCTCACATCACGAACTAACACAATTCGCGATTTGAGCAAAATTTCCATTTCGAGAAAATCGTTTTTGAAGTAATCTGCACGAAAAGAATTTGAATTCTGACCATAAAACAGCTTAAATCGGGGCTAAGTTTAACATACGTTGAACTCAAAAGGTTGAAGCTTATGATTTGTATTAAAAATAATAATGACTTTATTTTAATTAGCTGATAATTAACTTAAAACTATTGTGTTACTTCGTACACCCCTATTACGGGGACAGGGACACTTCCTGAGTGTGCCAAATGGTCAAATAAATCCTATTAAGGGGACACTTATTTTTTCTTTCTCAAAAAAAGAAAGTCATTAAACTTTATAAATCAAGTCTCATGACAGTGTTATAACGACTATCTGAATCTAAATATCGTAGACACCTTTTGAGCAATAAACCAGAATGTTCTCCCCTGAACCTTAGTTTGAATATCAGTATAGGTCTACTGCTTGTGTTAATTTGTATAAACCAATCTTGTCTATTTTGACCTTTAACCATGGGGAAACATGGCAAAAACCCCCAGTTATTGGGACACTTTTTAGGTCCAAAATGTGTTTCCTTAATAAGAGTTCTACTGTATTCTAATTGATTTGAGAACAACTTAAATTTTGGTCAGCAAATACAATATTTTCTTGAACAATACTACATTGGTTAAAAACATTGTCTTAATTATAAACAGTTCATTTTCATTAACACATTAGTGTATTTTATAAGAAAATTCACAGCAAGAATCTTGTACTATAAAGACAAACTATTTTTAAAAAACATCATTTTTAGAATCAGACAAACACAGTAAGCGACTCTTAGACTACAGAAACACAACAGCTAAAATGATTTGGTTACATCATTGGAACACCAAACTTGAATGAATCATCAAAACTTTGCTTTATTATTATTATCATTATCATTAATACGCAATTATAATAGTTGTATATAATACACTAGTGGAAATTTATACGAAGGTTAGATTAATGCAAGAAAAAATTCTGAGGGCCTGCAAGCCCTTAAGGATTTTTTTAATGGAGTAATCCAACCTAAGTATAATGAATTTCCCCTAGTGTTTAGCACTATTCTAATTGCTTTAGTAAATCGCCGTGTTTTAATGTTAGTTCTATAATCAAACAGTAGTAGTGTTTATACATAATATTGAAGTTCTACAGGTTCTAATATATCTTGTTTCAATTACCATTTGTTAAACGAATATTGGGTGGGTGGGTGTCTGTCCTTTCTTTCCACAGGCTTGCGTCATAATGCTAGATGTAAAAACACTAGCCTAGAATTAATCTTGGTGCATGATATATATATATATATTTGAATTGGTTTATTGTACACAAACCTAAAAAAGATACAGTGCACTACACTTTTTTTTATATAAGAACCAGTAAAATTTTGCCTAGGCTCAATGTTATATTTTGGCCAATTTCAGGCTGAAATTGTTCTTATATATACTTGAATAGTGTGTAAAAACACATGGTTCAAACATAGAAAATTATTATTATACAGCAGTATATTACTCTACTTTATAATGGAGGTACAGTATTATATATTCACAGCTACTACACATTACAGATAGATTGGTTGCTTTTTCTAGTTTTTCTAAATAAAAACCTCATTTGACATTTTACTTCAGTCTCAATGTGTTATTAGTTTGTTCTTCAATTCGAGGTTTTATGATATTCTTATTTGTTATTAATAATGTCAATGATTAAGCTGCCTATAAAAGGTTTGGTATTCTGGATGTGAAAGGACTGGAGTGGGTCCGGAACAGAGACTTTGTAAGTCCTGATACTTCGCTTCTGACAATCTTGGGTAACCTGCCTTGTACAGATTTTGGGGACTTTCAACATCAGAACTTTCTGACTGTCGACGCATGCTATTAGAAAGGTTGATTACTTCGTATTCCTTGTCTAGGTGCGAGTACTTAAATCTTACTGTTTCTGGTTCATTCTTTTTTACCTGAACTTGCATAAACTTAGTCCAGTCAATGTTTTTGCCGGACTCAGCATAACGCACTCTAAGTATTCCTTTCTTTTGGCTTAATGTCTTCCAATCTTTGATATCGGCTGATTTTGTAGGAATAACAGTATATGGCTTTGGACGTTTTCTAGCCATGCTGATGATACTCACAACCTGAAATGGTAAAGCAATTTCCGACACTTGGTTGATTGCTCTTTCTATGGTACTATGAATTGAGTCTCCTTCAGACTGAACATGGTTAGTTTCGAAGAAATTGAGGGTAATCTCTTGGATAGATTTTGAGGATTCAATGAAATACATCATCATCGCTGGGATAACAGAATTTTTGTTCTGGCCAATGCATCCGTCTGAGAAAAAATCCATTTTTTCGACACCTTTAGTGTCCATTTCTTGAAGGTATGTGTACAGATACGATGCAATTTCACAGGAACCCCTACGTGTTTGCCCTTCATGGGCAAAGTAACAGTTTCCATCTTTAGTTGCTAAAGTCATACACCGTAAAGTTGTAACAAGATAGATGGCGTTTATAGAACAGCTCTGACCGAGCTGATTTAAGAACATAAATGACTTGCTGCAGGTCAAACACAGCGGCACCATACTTCTTATCACTAGAAGCTCTTTCCTTTGCCTGTGTTTTCAGGTTACGGACTTCATTTTTTTCGTTTATGTGGCAGTTAAACTCCTCTTGCAAACGAGCCTTCTGTTCACCATTAGAGTTAAAGAATACTTCACATAACCCACAGGTGTCTTTTTTTGGATGGTGGAATTTAAGATTAAGTGATTTGAATACTTTCATGTAAAATGAATATGATACTCCCATTGGATGTTCCTCCTTGTACATTTTGTACATTATACTGAAATTGAGATCTGAGGATAAGTATTGACATTTAGTACTTGATCTGCAATAATGTGATTCCATTCTAGGAAATTTCTCAATATGCTTTACCACTTCTTCTCTAAGCAATCTGTCACTCTCAACTAGCTGACGCCCACCCCTTTTCTCATATTCAATAACACCACAGGCATCAAGTTTCGACATTACTGTACGAATTTGTTGGACTGATATACCAATTGTAGAAATAAGCATAGATCTGCACACTTGCCATTTCTCACCTGATTCAATATTAGGCAAGAAGTAACTGCATCTACGATTATTTTGAGATTCAGGATGTACACAAAATACATGCCGGGTTAGCCATTCTCTCTGTTTCTGTAAGTTCCCCATATCATAGAATGCTCTTCTTATTTGGAAACGTTCTGCTTCTGTTAATTTCTTACAGTCAAGCTCTTTAAATTCACAGTAAGTGCACATACTGTTTTCCATTGCATCTCTTTTTGCAGGCATCAGTTTGTTTGTTTTTTCTGTGGTATATGCTTCCCCCAGATTCCTTTTTTTCTTGACCAAAGCATTTCTACTTTTAATTTCTTTAATCTTCTTTGGGGAAAACTGCCTAGGCTCTCCATCAACTACATAATCAGCAGCCAGTCAATCTACATTACGATTCTCACATGCTTCTGGCATTGTTGCGGCTATGGAAGGAGGTTCATTTGCTTCACATGGCTCAACGTTTAAGGGTGCGTATAAGGACGGGAAATGAAACAACACTGCCACCAACGTAATCAGTCAATGAATTGTCTTTAATGTCGACTATCAATATCAGAACTATTGACAAAGCGATTGACAAAGCGATTTACTGAAACATAAAACAAAAATTCACCTTCATGTGAATAGAATTATGTAATCAACATAGTAAACATGATTAAACATTGAATCACAATTATCATTAAAATAAAGAAATAATCAGTACCCTAGAGAAAATGGTTAATTAATCTACTCTAGCTTTCCTTTCACACTAAATTATCCATATTGCCAATGATAGAATAATGCCATGAATAATGCCATGAATATTCATGATTACCATGACAACCAGAGAGTACAACTGACTGGCCGCATCTCGCTATGCGATGGAGTAGCGAGCGACGAAATTCCAAGTGTCATAGCCAACTTTAGTTAACTCTAAATCTAACAACACTTTAAGATATGAATGCAACACTTTTATGAATGCAACATATTAACAGTAGAATAATAAGATACTGCATTCTAAAGAGTCAACAATCTGTGTATATTATACGTAACTAGCACCACCAGCACAGCGCTGGCTCGACGTGCACGGCTCTCGGCG